GAGGGTGGTGGTGAGTGGAGAGGGTGGTGGTGAGTGGAGAGGGTGGTGGTGAGTGGAGAGGGTGGTGAGTGGGGAGGGTGGTGGTGAGTGTAGAGGGTGGTGGTGAAGTGGAGAGGGTGGTGGTGAGTGGAGAGGGTGGTGAGTGGGGAGGGTGGTGAGTGGGGAGAGGGTGGTGGTGAGTGTAGAGGGTGGTGGTGAGTGGAGAGGGTGGTGGTGAGTGTGAGAGGGTGGTGAGTGGAGAGGGTGGTGGTGAGTGTAGAGGGTGGTGGTGAGTGGAGAGGGTGGTGAGTGGGGTGGTGTGAGTTGGAGAGGGTGGTGGTGAGTGGGAGGGTGGTGGTGAGTGGGAGAGGGTGGTGGTGAATAGAGAGGGTGGTGGTGAGTGGAGAGGGTGGTGAGTGGGGTGGTGGTGAGTTGGAGAGGGTGGTGGTGAGTGGGAGAGGGTGGTGGTGAGTGGGTGGTGGTGAGTGGAGAGGGTGGTGGTGAATGGGAGGGTGGTGAGTGTAGAGGGTGGTGGTGAGTGGAGAGGGTGGTGTGTGAGTGGGAGAGGGTGGTGGTGAGTGGGTGGTGGTGAGTGGGTGGGTGGTGGTGAGTGGAGTGGGTGGTGGTGAGTGGGTGGTGGTGAGTGGGTGGGTGGTGGTGAGTGGGAGAGGGTGGTGGTGAGTGGGTGGTGGTGAGTGGAGAGGGTGGTGGTGAATGGGAGGGTGGTGAGTGTAGAGGGTGGTGGTGAGTGGAGAGGGTGGTGGTGAGTGGGAGAGGGTGGTGGTGAGTGGGTGGTGGTGAGTGGGTGGGTGGTGGTGAGTGGAGAGGGTGGTGGTGAATGGGAGAGGGTGGTGGTGAGTGGGTGGGTGGTGAGTGTAGAGGGTGGTGGTGAGTGGGTGGTGGTGAGTGGGTGGTGGTGAGTGGAGAGGGTGGTGAGTGGAGAGGGTGGTGAGTGGAGAGGGTGGTGGTGAGTGGAGAGGGTGTGGTGAGTGGAGAGGGTGGTGAGTTGGGGAGGGGTGAGTGGGAGGGTGGTGAGGGAGAGGGTGGGGTGAGAGGGTGGTGGTGAGTGTAGAGGGTGGTGGTGAGTGGAGAGGGTGGTGGTGAGTGGAGAGGGTGGTGAGTGGAGAGGGTGGTGAGTGGGGAGGGTGGTGAGTGGGAGAGGGTGGTGGTGAGAGGGTGGTGGTGAGTGTAGAGGGTGGTGGTGAGTGGAGAGGGTGGTGGTGAGTGGAGAGGGTGTGGTGAGTGGAGAGGGTGGTGAGTGGGGAGGGTGGTGAGTGGGAGAGGGTGGTGGTGAGAGGGTGGTGGTGAGTGGGAGAGGGTGGTGGTGAGTGTAGAGGGTGGTGGTGAGTGGAGAGGGTGGTGGTGAGTGGAGAGGGTGGTGAGTGGGGGAGGGTGGTGAGTGGGGAGGGTGGTGAGTGGGAGAGGGTGGTGGTGAGAGGGTGGTGGGAGTGTAGAGGGTGGTGGGTGAGTGTAGGTGGTGGTGAGTGTAGAGGGTGGTGGTGAGTGGAGAGGGTGGTGGTGAGTGTAGAGTGTGGTGGTGAGTGGAGAGGGTGGTGGTGAGTGGGTGGTGGTGAGTGGGGAGGGTGGTGAGTGGGAGGGTGGTGGTGAGTGAGAGGGTGGTGGTGAGTGGAGAGGGTGGTGGTGAGTGGAGAGGGTGGTGGTGAGTGGAGAGGGTGGTGAGTGGAGAGGGTGGTGGTGAGTGGAGAGGGTGGTGAGTGGGGAGGGTGGTGAGTGGGGAGGGTGGTGAGTGGAGAGGGTGGTGGTGAGTGGGTGGTGGTGAGTGTAGAGGGTGGTGGTGAGTGTAGAGGGTGGTGGTGAGTGGAGAGGGTGGTGGTGAGTGGAGAGGGTGGTGGTGAGTGGAGAGGGTGGTGGTGAGTGTAGAGTGTGGTGGTGAGTGGAGAGGGTGGTGGTGAGTGGGTGTGGTGAGTGGGGAGGGTGGTGAGTGGGAGGGTGGTGGTGAGTGAGAGGGTGGTGGTGAGTGTAGAGGGTGGTGGTGAGTGGAGAGGGTGGTGGTGAGTGGGTGGTGGTGAGTGGAGAGGGTGGTAGTGAGTGGAGAGGGTGGTGAGTGGGTGGTGGTGAGTGGGGAGGGTGGTGAGTGGGTGGTGGTGAGTGTAGAGGGTGGTGGTGAGTGGAGAGGGTGGTGAGTGGGTGGTGGTGAGTGGGGAGGGTGGTGAGTGGGTGGTGGTGAGTGTAGAGGGTGGTGGTGAGTGGAGAGGGTGGTGAGTGGGTGGTGGTGAGTGGGGAGGGTGGTGAGTGGGTGGTGGTGAGTGTAGAGGGTGGTGGTGAGTGGAGAGGGTGGTGAGTGGGTGGTGGTGAGTGGAGAGGGTGGTAGTGAGTGGAGAGGGTGGTGAGTGGGTGGTGGTGAGTGGGGAGGGTGGTGAGTGGGTGGTGGTGAGTGTAGAGGGTGGTGGTGAGTGGAGAGGGTGGTGAGTGGGGAGGGTGGTGAGTGGGTGGTGGTGCGTGGAGAGGGTGGTGGTGAGTGGGAGAGGGTGGTGAGTGGGAGAGGGTGGTGGTGAGAGGGTGGTGGTGAGTGGAGAGGGTGGTGGTGAGTGTAGAGGGTGGTGGTGAGTGGGAGAGGGTGGTGGTGAATGGGTGGTGGTGAGTGGAGAGGGTGGTGGTGAGTGGGGAGGGGTGGTGAGTGGGAGAGGGTGGTGAGTGGAGAGGGTGGTGGTGAGTGGGGTGGGTGGTGGTGAGGGTGAGAGGGTGGTGGTGAGTGGGTGGTGGTGAGTGTAGAGGGTGGTGGTGAGTGGAGAGGGTGGTGGTGAGTGTAGAGGGTGGTGGTGAGTGGGTGGTGGTGAGTGGGGAGGGTGGTGGTGAGTGGAGAGGGTGGTGGTGAGTGGAGAGGGTGGTGGTGAGTGGGTGGTGGTGAGTGGAGAGGGTGGTGGTGAGTGGAGAGGGTGGTGGTGAGTGGGTGGTGGTGAGTGTAGAGGGTGGTGGTGAGTGGAGAGGGTGGTGAGTGGGGAGGGTGGTGAGTGGGTGGTGGTGCGTGGAGAGGGTGGTGGTGAGTGGGAGAGGGTGGTGAGTGGGGAGGGTGGTGAGGGGAGAGGGTGGTGGTGAGAGGGTGGTGGTGAGTGGAGAGGGTGGTGGTGAGTGTAGAGGGTGGTGGTGAGTGGGAGAGGGTGGTGGTGAGTGGGTGGTGGTGAGTGGAGAGGGTGGTGGTGAGTGGGGAGGGTGGTGAGTGGGGGAGGGTGGAGAGTGGAGAGGGTGGTGGTGAGTGGGGAGGGTGGTTGGTGAGTGGGAGAGGGTGGTGGTGAGTGGGTGGTGGTGAGTGTAGAGGGTGGTGGTGATGGAGAGGGTGGTGAGTGGGGAGGGTGGTGAGTGGGTGGTGGTGCGTGGAGAGGGTGGTGGTGAGTGGGAGAGGGTGGTGAGTGGGGAGGGTGGTGAGTGGGAGAGGGTGGTGGTGAGAGGGTGGTGGTGAGTGGAGAGGGTGGTGGTGAGTGTAGAGGGTGGTGGTGAGTGGGAGAGGGTGGTGGTGAGTGGGTGGTGGTGAGTGGAGAGGGTGGTGAGTGGAGAGGGTGGTGGTGAGTGGGGAGGGTGGTGGTGAGTGGGAGAGGGTGGTGGTGAGTGGGTGGTGGTGAGTGTAGAGGGTGGTGGTGGGTGGAGAGGGTGGTGAGTGGGGAGGGTGGTGAGTGGGTGGTGGTGCGTGGAGAGGGTGGTGGTGAGTGGATAGGGTGGTGAGTGGGGTGGTGGTGAGTTGGAGAGGGTGGTGGTGAGTGGGAGGGTGGTGGTGAGTGGGAGAGGGTGGTGAGTGGGAGAGGGTGGTGAGTGTAGAGGGTGGTGGTGAGTGGGAGGGTGGTGGTGAGTGGGTGGTGGTGAGTTGGAGAGGGTGGTGGTGAGTGGGAGGGTGGTGGTGAGTGGGAGAGGGTGGTGAGTGGGAGAGGGTGGTGAGTGTAGTGGGTGGTGGTGAGTGAGAGGGTGGTGAAGGTTTCTGGTGGTGGTTGCGGCATGCTGCGGGAATTAAACAAAATAAAGTTCCATTGTTCACGACGGCCGGCGCCGACTCCCTCAGTGACACGGAACCTGCGGGCGCACGCCACAGTTCGTGGCCGGCCGGCTCACAACAACCTACACGGGTGATAAAATAGGCAGCACCTGCGGGGTGGTCGATCAGTGCCTGGAACTCCCCGCCCCCCCCCGCCCCCCACTCTCCACCCCCCCACACCCCGCCCCTAGTCTCCTTGGCCACGATAATTCTGCTGCGCCAATTTCTGCCCGGCGACTCGCGATGTTTGACCGCGGCGTGAATCCGAACTTTTTTTTTCACGCGAGCGGCCCGAGATGAGCGGAGTGAGCGGCGGATGGCGCCATCGATGCAGAAAAACATTTTTAGATTTTCCTGGCGGGGGGGTGGGAGGGGGAGGTGGGGGGAGGGGCTGAGCAATTCCACAACGCGTCATCTGGTCTAACGCCTTTTTGAGACGAGGCTCAAAAGAAAGCTGTCTCTGGTGTGGACCAATCAGCTTCAAGGACAATGCATATACTGTCAGAGCATGTTTTTTGTTTGCATTCTGACCACAAGTATTGTGGTTAATGCAGACATGATTCATTGTAAAAGGTTTCAGTTTGGTGTTTTAACATCTTGACACTGCTGTTTTTTTCACCAGCAAAAAGGGGAAAACCTATTCTCATCATTCGGCAGAGCGATGAATCGGTACCTCTCTCTCACGAGCTGAGAGGGGCAAGCGGGACACCGAAGCCGGCTCCCTTGAGCACCCCCAAGGGGGGCCCTCCCCCCTCCCCACTCGTTTGATTCTATCGTCTCAGATCACAGTCGCACGTTTGTCCACGTTGTTGTTGTTTGAACGACGCCTCGGCTGTAGAATTAACCAAGCGACGTCGCGATGCTGCTGATGATGATCAAGGCACTACCCCCCCCCCAAAAAAAAAATTTGCGCTGTGAAAGTTTTCGCTGTCACAACGACCGGCGTCACACCGATGTCACACCGACGTCACACTAACGTCACACCGTCGTCACGCCGACGTCACACCGACGTCACGCCGACGTCACGCCGCCGTCGCACCTTGATGGCGAGGTCGCAGTGCTCGCTGGCGGCCGTCAGCTGGTCCATGTGCCGCTCCACCTCGGCGGCGGAGATGCTGCAGCCGCTCTTCTTGCGGCCGCACACGGCGCTCTCGAGGCCCGAGAGCACGCGCTGCAGCTCCGAGTTCAGGTCGCTGCTCCCGTCTGCGGGCGGCAAAGCCACGGGTTCAGGTTCCGGTACATCGGTGGGGTAACGCGTGGGTTGTCGCGCGCCGGTGGCTCTCTGGGCCGACCCCTCCTAGTGGAGGCCGCTCTGCCAGCAACGGCGATCGGTCCTGCTTCGGATTGGCACCGAGCGCGGCTCATTCATGACGCCCGTGAAATGTCGCGCGCGGCACAAGCGGCATTGCAGGAGGGCCTGGGTTCGATCCCGACCCAGACCCCGACGCCTGCTGCTGTATATTTGGAGGAAGCGTGTTCGTTCTCCCTCTCTCTCGCTCTCTTTCTCCCCGTGGTGGTCGCATGGATTTTTCTCCGGTTTTCCCCTCCACATTTAGAATCAACGTGCGTTTGGAGTACGTATGCATTTTGAACTTCTTTCGCACCCTACGTAGCCAACCTTGCTCAGCGGAGGTGCGGTGTATGTGTGCATGTCCAACTTCTATTGCACCATAGGTATACAACCGTGCCAATCGGTGGTGCGCGGGGGGGGGGGGGGGGGGCGGTTGGGCAATCGGCGAGCAGCCCCAGCAGAGGCCGACACGACAGACACGACAGACCCTCCCGCAGAGCTAATCGGCAAGACGAACGGTCGGCGTGCTGCATTACGGCACTTGTCAGTGCCGGTAGCGCCGCGTGAGTGCGTGAGTGCGTGTGTGCGTGTGTGCGCGTGTGCGTGAGTGCGCGCGTGTGTGTGAGTGCGTGTGTGTGTGTGCGTGTGTGCGTGCGTGCACGTGCGTGTGTGTGCGCGTGTGTGCGTGCGTGCGCGCGCGTGCGTGTGCGTGCGTGTGCATGTGTGTGCGTGCGTGTGTGTGCGCGTGTGTGTGTGCGCCCTACTTGGGAAGAGTGAAAAACGGCCAAACTTTAACGGTCGGAGCCAGCCCGGCTGCTCGTTAAATCAGCCCGAATTAATGTCACGGCCACGCGCGTTAATGCCGCCCCCCCCCCCCCCCCCCCATTAGCTGGGGCGGGGATATGGTGGGGATTTAAACCGGCGATATTTGAGCGTCCATGAAACAAAAAAACGATCAAATTAATTTTATTAAAATGACGCGGAGCGCGTTCTGCTGGCGTTTGCGAATGCGCGCGTGCACCCCCCCCCCCAATACGATAAACAGTGATCTCCAAAAACACCACGGACGGGACGGGTGGTTACGACGCGGCGCTAAGCGCAATTGGGTGACGTTGGCGCGACGTTGGCGACGTTGGGCGCGCTCCGTGCTCCATCTCGACGCGTCGACATTTTATTCCTCGGCGATGAAACGGCAACAATCTGGCGCAGGAATAAAAAAATGTGACTTTTAAAAATCTTTCCAAACTGCAATTTAACGCGGATTTTTATTTTATTCTAATATATATTATTAAGCGCATACAAAACAAAGAGAGACGCCGATCAAATTAAATTCTCCATCGAAGATTTACCAGCCGGGTACCAACCATCGTTCACGCATTCTCAACTAATTCATTCTCAACTAATTAATTCCCGTGCGATAAACATTCAGGGGCCCCTCGACTTGCACACTTTCAGAGATACGAACAAACCTCTCCGTAAGTCCAGTTGCCTGTTCGGACTCAGAGTCGTAAGTTCAACCGCCGCGCAATAGATGGCAATGGTGGCATCTACATCTGCAGAACGTGAAGAACCAGTGGCATCTACATCTGCAAAACGTGAAGAACCAGTGGCACCTACATCTGCAGAACGTGAAGAACCAGTGGTATCTACATCTGCAGAACATGAAGAACCAGTGGCATCTACATCTGCAAAACGTGAAGAACCAGTGGCATCTACATCTGCAGAACGTGAAGAACCAGTGGCATCTACATCTGCAGAACATGAAGAACCAGTGGCATCTACATCTGCAAAACGTGAAGAACCAGTGGCATCTACATCTGCAGAACGTGAAGAACCAGTGGCATCTACATCTGCAGAACATGAAGAACCAGTGGCATCTACATCTGCAGAACATGAAGAACCAGTGGCATCTACATCTGCAAAACGTGAAGAACCAGTGGCATCTACATCTGCAGAACGTGAAGAACCAGTGGTATCTACATCTGCAGAACGTGAAGAACCAGAGGCATCTACATCTGCAGAACGTGAAGAACCAGTGACATTTACATCTGCAGAACGTGAAGAACCAGTGGCATCTACATCTGCAGAATGTGAAGAACCAGAGGCATCTACATCTGCAGAACGTGAAGAACCAGTGACATCTACATCTACAGAACGTGAAGAACCAGTGGCATCTTCATCTACAGAACGTGAAGAACCAGTGGCATCAACATCTACAGGACATGAAGAAATAGTGGCATCAACATCTACAGGACATGAAGAACTAGTGGCATCTACATCTACAGAACATGAATAACCAGTGGCATCTACAGAACGTGAAGAACCAGTGGCATCTACAGGAGATTACACAACTTTAAAAGCCATTCCGCGTGTTTCGTGCACATGCCGTACACCACGTTTGCAATCGACAGGAGTAAAGTTGTACTTACGAACAAATCGGCTTATGAACAGACCTCTGGAAAGTCACGTAGGTAAAAAATTAAAATTAATAAAAGTTAAATAAAAATAAAATAAAATCACGACGTTTCGGAGGCAGCACAAGCTTCCGTCTTTACTTGATGCAGCAGTCGTGCTGTGACGGTTCCACCTGAAGACGGAAGCTTGTGTTGCCTCCGAAACGTCGTGATTTTATTTTACTTTTATTAATTTAAATTTTTTACCTACGTGACTTTACCGAAAAAACATAAGAATATGAATCCTTGCAGTCACGAAAGCTTCAAATCTAGAACTCTGGAACCCAACTCGTTTGTGTATAGGCCAAAGGCGCAGCCCTGCAATTGTTCGCTCGCACCGCCGCTGGCAGGAGCCTCCAAAGGAACGAGCTCTAGAGCCCCTCCAGAGGAGTGTTTGGCCTACTCTTCCACGCTCGCCAGTACGTCTTGAAAGAGGCGGAAGTACCCACACTTTACCCCACCGCACAATGCGTCCTGCCGATCGACTGCGGATAACCACATTTGGCGATGAGCGCGATTGTGGGCTACGTAGGCTGCGTAAGAAGGTCAACGTACGTACCCGCTCCTTCGATTAACACGGTTGGTCACGTACGGTGCGAAAGAAGTTCAACATAATACATTTAGCGTGCTGCTGGGTGGACAGAGGCAGGGGGACGGGTGGATTTGGGAAACTTTGCGAGCGTTTCGACCGCCGCGCCGGGAGATGGAGTGCAAGTGCGGTGCCCTGCTGACCTAACTTACGATAAGCTGAGTAGCGGGGAAATTGAGTTTTCAGGTCCATACGGCGTTTGTGTTTCTCCCTTGTGATGGGACTTTGTGGGGTGAACGTTGAGATTTAGAAGGGCACGGGGTGACCAACGAGGTCTGAATTTGTCTGCAATAAGGTAGGGTGCTGATAAGGCGTTGACGGGGACGCACTATAGTGGTTCAACTAAAAAGCAAGTCTTTAACTCGGGTGAATTAATGGACGATCGAAGTCCACGTGAACGGTAGCCACGGCAGTAGCAGCCGCAGCAGCAGCAGTGGTAGATGAACGCTAAGGGTGCGCAACTGACCCCCCCCCCCCCACGCGGCGAGCGAGCGAACGAGCAAGCGACGGATCGCCGGTGACCTGGACCACCGCTTCACTCTGTCGGGGGCAGCAGCAGCAGCAGCGCCGGGCGCTCGCCTCAGCCGCAGTGGCTTCCGGCTGCTGAACGAATAGGTTACGTATACTCTTTGGTTCTTTCGGTAAAGTCACGTGGTGAAAAAATAACATAAATCACTGCGTGACTTTACCAAAAGATTCAAAGCAAGATTGAATAGGTTATGTCCTGACTGAAAGCTTACGTGACTGCAGGAATCATATTCTTTGGGTCTTTCGGTAAAGTCACGTAGACTGCTCCTGCCAGCTACTCATGAAGGTGGGGGGGGGTGGTTGAGGGGGGGGGAGGGGGTGGGAGGGGGGTGGGAGGTGGGGGGTGGCTTAGTTATCAAGTTAGGGCAAGGAAGGTCACAAGCAAGGCCCCGGGAGAAAAAAAAATTTCACAAAAAAATCTCTCCGGACGAAATGTAGACGCCTCAAGACGAGCGAGCGTGCGAGTTCCTTCTCCGCGGCGGCTCCCCCCACGCGGGTCTCGTTACTCGGCGAGTATTTATAGACGCGGCGGGGGGGGGGGCGGGCGGCAGCTGTTGTGGGGGGTGGTGGTGGGGGGGCACCGCCACGCCTGGCGGGAGACCGACCACCCTCACAATCCGGCTACGCCGCGCGGCGGTGGCAGCGACGAGGAGGAGGAGGAGGAGGGGGGGGGAGCCCCCCTCGCCAACCCCGCCCGGGGGATTACTGTCGGGTCCCTGAACCCCGGATTGCTCCCAGTGCTGCCCCCCCCCCCAAAAAAAAAAACGTAAACACCCTCGACAACAAACATATGACGATCGTCGTCACGTCAGTACGCCACGCCACGTACGCCGGACTTCTTTCGCGCCGTACGTAGCCGACCGTGCTCGTCGACACGGGCGGCACGAGCGTCCCCCTCTCTCCCCCACAAGGCACCCTGGCGGCGGTGACCTCGGTGAAGCCGTAGCCAATCCCGACGGAGAGCACGGGTGACCCCGTGACCCCCGCGGTCAGAGACGCCGAGAGGTCAGAGTTCAAATCCGAGACGCGGCCCCGTGCTCGACATACGTGCTTGGGCTTCCGACATCTGGCGAGAATGGGTTGTTAGGAGATGTTGACTACCTCGCCTGGTATGCGAGACGTCGCGAGTTAGAGCCCAACCCCGACGCCTGCTGTATATTTGGAGTTTGTGTGTCTCTCACTATCTCTCTCTCTCTCCCCATGGTCGCGTATATTTTTCTCCGGGTCCTCCGGTTTTTCCCTCCACATTTATAATCGACGTCACGCGTTTAGAGCATTCGGCTGCTGCTGCTGCTATAAATGTCCACGTGACGATGACGATGATCCACCACTTCGTTGAGCT